CAACCCATCGGAACTGGTCTGAGGGTAAATTTTTATTAGTAAAAAAATAACTTAATGAATCAATTGTATTGATTATCCAATGAATAAAGCACGTAACGAAGTTTAATATGTCGGAAAGAAAAATTTTAGGGGAATTTACATATAATGGCCCGAAAAATGAAAACAATTACAAATAAGGGCCCAAAGTGGAAATAATTGCATATAAGGGCCCAAATTTTGAAAAATATTACAATCAAGGGTCAGATTGCAAATTTTTATATATAAAAGTAACTGTCTTTTGACATTTAAACGTATTACTTTTTAATCAGTATTTTAATTTATTTTCTTTAACGCCTTTCATATAAAAATTATAACCACTTTTGCCGATTTTTAAAAGTAATTTAACTTTCTCTATGAATAAAAATGAACCTCTTCGGTTCTAAATATCTTCGATTAATGCATAGTAACGTTCACAGAATATTGATTCACTTGTTTGGTATAGAGATAGATAAACGTATTAGTTTAGAACCGAATAAACATTACAATAACAATATATATCGTAATTAACCTAGTCGAATTGTTTCTTAGTTAAAAGAAAGTTCATTAAGCGAAAGGTAAAATATAAAATGTATTGACCAATACATACAGTACATACAGATTTAGTGTTTGAAGAACCACTATCATCATAGCGCATAGTTATTTTGGCCCTTAATTGTAAAATTTTTCTAAATTTGGCCCTTATATGTAATTATTTCACTTTGGGCCTTTATTTTAATTATTTTCATTTTTCGGGCCCTTATATGTAAATTCCCCCAAAATTTTATTAGCGGAAGTTCGTTTAACCGACCAAGGGCGTTCTCAAGCGCCTCAATTAATGATCAAAGTATGTCAAAATGTGTCGGGAATTAAATTTTAATTAGCAGAAACCGATCAATTGAACTTGCAATTAAGATGAGTATTGTAGTTAATAATGTGAAAAAAATTTTTAAAATAGTAAATAATGAACCGTGAGCTTGCCATTTGAGTCAAAAAACTTTTTGTCCCTAACCATCTTTTTTTTTTGCCCTGACTTATCAAACTTTTTAAATATTAAAATAAATATTAAAATAAATAAAGTATTGTTCAAGTGTTTTCATACTTTTATTACATTCTAGAATATGAAAAAGGTATAATAAACGAAATAGGAAAAGTGCATTTCTTTCAAGCAGGGTTATACCGCTTTTTACACCTTTTGCACAACATAAGAAATACAAAAATACAATTTTTAAGAAATTTCAGAGGGATAGTTTATTTTTAAATTCTATTGAAATAATTTGTCAAAAAAATGCTATTTGGATTATAAAATGTGTATTAGACCTTGTAAAGATGATAAATATTGGTGTACAAGATGTTCAGAAAGAAAGCCAAAAATAATCTTTAAAAAATTTAACGGGTGATCTCAAAAAATATGAATCAAATATAATTTTGATATGTTTATCCAATTCATCCAAGACGCGTATAGAGAAGATGAAAGAATTGTAGATATTCAGTATATTGCTGATGGAGGATTTTCATCTGTTTGTACTGCAAAATGGCTTGATGGCTATCCCCGTGAACAAATTGGATTAAGATCTCGAAAGGGACTAGTTACTGTAGCACTTAAAATATTTAAGTATGATAGCAAAAAACATTCATAAATGAGGTATTAATTATTTTTTAAATTGGCTTTCATATTCTAACTTACTATTATAACAATAATATTTTTTGAAGTGGTGAATTATGCATCGCAAACCTATATTGCTATACTGTCAGTTTTTCGAAATGAAACTTTTGGATTTACTGGTGTTCCGGGAATAGGGTTCGCTATATTAATGGAATTTTACGGCTTAATGACTTTATATGGCTTCAGAACTTTTAGAGGGTTATTCACGACTGATATTTATGCTCTAGGGATGGTTATGTGGGACTTTCAGCTGATGAGCCACCATTTAATAACATACAACATGATGCTCTTTTAATTTTAAGTATATGCGGGAGATATCACCCAGATATCATTAATAACACCCGACATACTTGGTAAAATTAATGTAAATGTGTTGTGATGATGACCCTAAAAAACGCCCAAGTAGTATTCTAGAAATTATAAATGAAGTCCATACTTGGAATCTGTAGAAATGGTTAAGGCGATGATTCAAGAAAAATGTATTGCGAGTACTCCCAAACGTAATTTGACAAAGAAACATTCTAATACTGCCTATGCGAGAAAATTTATATCAATAATTATAAACAATGAAAATTCAGATATTAAATATATTTATTATTCACGAAGATTTAGCATTTGTGAATTCAGTAATATAATACTTCATAGTTTATACTGAATGAACGCTAGTTCAACATTTTTGAAACTGGTATTAAATCTAGTTGGGTTA